GTGAACAATATAAGAGAGATGTAGAATGCATGAAACAGACTCAAAGAGATATCCAGGAAATCAAAAACTCCATTGAAAGTTGGCAAAACCACTTGGAAAAAACTGAAGATAAATAAACCTTCAGACCTTGAAGACAGGGGTGCAACTTGTGATTGTAAAAAGGAAGATCTCTTAAAAATAACAAGCAACCAGGAAGTAACAATTCAAGGGCTGCAGGACAATGCAAAGAAACACAACTTAAGAATAATAGGTGTGAGTGAAAAAGCAGAGATCAACACAAATGACATTAAAAGTGTATTTACAGAAGTAATAGCAGAAAACTTCCCAAGCATAGGAAAAGGATGTGACATTCAGATAAGTGAGGTATACAGAACTCCAGCTAGCCATAACCAAAATAAATCTACACCCACACATATAATAATAAAGACCCCAGACATTCAATACAAGAATAGAATATTAAAAGCTGTTAGAGAATAGAAACAGATCACCTACAGAGGAAAGCCCATCAGAAACACAACAGACGTCTCAACACAAACCGTAAGTCGGAAATAGGCTGGAGTATAAAGTATTGCAAGTCCTGAAAGAAAACAACTTCCAACCCAGATGGATGTACCCTGCAAAACCTTCTTTCAAAATTAATGGAGAAACAACATACTTTCATAAAGAACAACTGAAGAAATTCATGACCATCAAGCCAACCCTACAAAGAATACTGAAGGACATTCTAGAGAGAGATAAAAATGACCACAGTTTCAGGAACAGTGGCAGAGGGATCACCAACTGGGCAGATAGTTGAATGGAGGATAAAAATAGGGAACCAGTGGCAGGAAAATAGCATGGCAGAGACACGCCAGTGCATGTTGACCATAATGGTTTTGTAGATGGCCTCAATTCACCAATAAAAAGAAACAGGCAGAGTAGATAGGAGACTATACCCATCAATATGCTTTATACATGAAACATTTAACCGGAAAGAAAATGCATAGACTGTAAGTCAAAGCAGAGAGAACAATGCTCTATGTGACAGGGAATCTGAAAAAAGTAAGGATAGCTTGCCCAGCGACTGCAGAATGAATAAGAAAGATACGGCATTTTTATACAGTTGAAAGCTACTCAGCTGTAAAGAAAGTGAACCTCAACATTCTTGTAGGTAAGTGGATACAACTGCTTGTGGATGAAAATGGGTCAGAGTCACATGGGTGAACATTGTGTTGTCTCCCTCGTATAAAAAACTAAAGGAGTTAGTGGGATCCAAAATGCACAATAAACATTGCGAAAGTGAAAGGGGAGAAAATGTCTAAAAAGGAATGGCAGTGGCCATTGTTAAACATTGAAAACACATTATTATGTTTTGAAACCCAGTATTGTTTTCATTGTTCTGTTTAGTTTGGTTTTATTCTGTTTTGTTTTGATTTTATTATATTTGATGGCATAGACAAGAAGATATATTATGGTAACTATTATTGATTTCCTATTATCTTGTTTTGAAATTCTGTACCACATTTATTATTTTGTTTTGATTGACTATTCTGTTTATTTCATTTGGTTTTATTCTCTTCAAAATAAAAAATAAAGATACTAAATTCAGCAAAATAACAGAATAAACATAAATATTGAAATAATTAATAGTTTTTCTGTGTACCAATGAAGAACTAACTAGCTAACAAAGAAATCAGGGAAACAGTTTCATTCAGAGTAGCCTCAAAATATAAAAAATACCTAGGGATAAAGCTAACTAGGAGGTAAAAGACTTCTACACTTAAATTAAAAAACACAAAAATTAAAACTGAAGAAGATAGTAGAATATGGAAAAATCTGTCCTGTTAATCTATCAACACAATATTGTTAAAATGGCCATTTTACAAAAAATGACCTACAGATTCAGCGCAACCTCATCAAAATTCTAATGACATCCTTCACAGAACTACAGAAAAAGTCCTGAGATTCATTTGGAAATAAAAAAAGATCTAGAATAGCCAAAACAGTCCTAAGGACAGAGAGCAAGGCTGAATGCATCATAAAACTTGTTATCAAATTATACTATAAAGCTGTAACCTCTATGAAAATAGACACAAATCAGTGGAATACAGGACACAAATAATTCCATGTAACTACAGTCATTTATTTCTTGACTAGGGACCAAAAAGTACACAGTAGAGAAAAGAACTAGCCTCTTTAATAAATAGTGCTGGATACTCACATGTAGAAGATTGAAACTAGATTTGTATTGCACATTCTTTCTGAAAATCATCGCAAAGTGGATTAAAGACCTAGATATAAGACTGGAAACATTGGAACTACTGGAAGAATCCATAGGAAGTAATACCTGAAGTCACGGCATAGGCAAAGACTTCTTGGTTAGGGCTGTAATAGCACAAGAAGTGATAAGAATCAAGAAATGGGATTATATCCCATTAATAAGATCTCGCACTATACGGGAAACAGTCATCAATTTGAAGGAATGGTTTACAATATGGGAGAAAATATTTGCTAGCTCCTTTTCCAACAGAGGCATATATAGAATATATGAAATCCAAAAACCAATCAACAACAAAAAAATCAAATAGCCTAACCAATAAATAATCTAAAGAACTGAGTCAACACTCTTCAAAAAAAAAGTATAAATGGCCAAAAAGTATATGAAAAAATATTTAACTTCTTTAGATGTTAGGGAAATGCAAATCAGAATTACATTAAAATTGCATTTATCACAGTCAGAATGGCTATAAATACCGAAAACATTAAGTGGAAGTGAGGATGCAGAAAAAAGGAACCCTGACTTGCTGATTGGAATGTAAATTAGTGCAGCATTTGTGGAAATCACTATGGAGACGCCTCAAAAAACTATGGAAATACCATTTGTTTTACCTTTACTGCTCCTTGGTATATACCTGATGGTATTAAAGCCAGCATGTGACAGGGACACCTTCATATCCATGTTATGGTGGGACAATCTACTCCAGCATGGTATTGAACCTGCCTAGGGGCCCAGCAGCAGAAAAATGGATAAAGAAATTTTGGTATGTTACACAACAATGGATTATTGTTCAGCTGTAAAGAACAACAAATTTGTCATTTGTAGAAAATGCGTAGAAATAGAGATCGTCATGTTAAGTGATATAAGCCAGACAGAAAGACAGTCTTGGATTTTTTCCTTAATATGTGGAATCTACAGAAAATGACATTAAAATGGAGAAGAGACTAGATAAATAGAAAGGAACAAAGGGGACATATTATGGTGACTAGTGGTGGATCGGACATGCTACATATGTGACTGAAACTCAGTATTTTATAAAATTAATAAGCATTAATGAAGCTATATTTAAAATAAATAATCATTTAATCTAGTTTTCCTAACTTTTATTTTTCTTACAGTTTTTATTTTGTTAAACCAGCCCATCTGGCCAGTACGTACTCTTGTCTAAATCTTGAGTACATAGACATTAACTGTGCTGTTCTATATTTCTTTGCCATTTTTAAAGTAATTGCTTAATCCTGGACTTGATCAGATTTAAATTCTTTTTTTTTAGCAAGACTAGAGATGGTATGCGTTTTATCAGATGGCACCCTAAAGGTGATAGCCACTGATAGTTAATGCTTGTCTTTTTTTAATTGGAGGGAGATGCAAATAGTATTTTAATATAACCATTAGTTTCATGTCATAATGTTTTTATTAGTGTTTCTCATAATCTCTTTAGTGTACAGTAATACAGTTCATATTGAAAAGTATAAATATTTCATTATTTTTCTTTGAATTTTCAAATGAATGAACAGAAGAAAAGATGCAAGAATTGCACAAATAATTTTTTCTATCCTTATTTTAGTTCTGTAGAATACCTGTGTATCTGTATTCATTTCTTTGAATATGAATCCTTCTCAACTACTCACAACTCTAAAATTTGGCAAATTACTTCATTTTCCTGAAATCCAGTTTCCAGAATTTGTTCATAGACTCATTGCTCCTGTAGGGTCATCTCAGGGTTTATGTCCTTATATAACTCCTGAAATACAGAGTGTTTTTTTCAGATAGTTTTCTTCATTAGTACATGTTTGCAACACACGTAATGTTTACATTCTTTGTGAGAAGTTGTTACATGTACACAATATATCTTAATTCTCTTCCATCCCTTTATGAGAAATATGTGACAGTAATAGAGGAATCTTTTATTTTAACTATTTTCCTCATCTTTGTTTGGAAAGAGTCATTGTTACTTGATCAGTGATGATATAGAACACATTTCATAGAGTTACTCATGCAAGAAGCAGCTCGGGTCAAGTGTTAATCAGACAACATGTTCACTCCTATTTGAAATTAAGCTTTGTTTACTTTATACCTAACATACTATAGAATGGTTCCTTTCTTAGTCACTATAAATCCCCTTCAGAATTGCTTACTGTAGAGAGGGACTGTGCTTTTTTTAGGAGAATGCTTTCCAGAGATAAATATTGTTGTGTCATATAATTTCTCTTTTTATATCCAGCCATCTCAACCATAGTAGATTTGAAGAGACCTGAACTATTTGCGCTTGTTTTAGGAAGAGTCCAAACAGGAATTTAGTTGTGTTGACTTGAAAATCTGGAGGAATGCCTGGCATTTTTGCATAGGAGATAAACTTTTAGCTTAGAGAGTGAATCTGTCTGAAATGTGAGACTCCTTCAGATTCTGGGAGACTCTTTGTATAGAGGGAAACACTGAAGTGCCCAGCCAAATGGTTGTCACTTTAAATCATTTCCTGTCAAATTTGAAGTAAGATCTCTTATTTCTGAAATAAGATATCTTATTTCTGTTGGTTGTGTGACTACTGGATACCCACCCACATCATATTTAATGCATAAGTTTATTGCCTTGTATAGTAAATGATTCAAGGACATAATACAGGTCACTCCACTTGGTCTGAAGCCGGGACCTCTCTGGTCTTGGCCAAGGATTTTGAAAAACACTCGAGCCTAACTTTCAGCACAATTGGAGTTTATATTGAACTTTTTTCTTTTAATTTCAGAGAGGATTTCACAAGAAATTTGCATAATTGTGGATAGAGAAGACAAGGAACATGTAGCTCATCTTCTTGAAGCTGTACTAAAAAATGAATTAAATGTAAGTATTCAGACTAAGTTTGATAAGCTTTACTTCAGTGCCCCAAAGCTGTATAGATAAAGGTAACTTCCTTGAAAGAACAAGTAAGGAAATCATTCAGTCTTATTGCTGACTTGATGATCTTTTGGTCTGCTAACACTTAGGACTTGAAATAAACTCCAGCCACTTTTTGATACCTCTGGAGGCTTTCTCCGATGCTCATGTGGGACTTTCCTTGGAAAATTCTGTTTGATGCTTTGGTACTAAGCAAAGGCCCAGACTTTTCTTGAGAGCCTCATTGACCAAATGCTAGGGGCTTAGCAAATTTTGTTGATTATATAAAACAAGAGTAAGATTACGAAGATGAATGAGGATAAAGAAAGACAGATGGTGGAAAAAGATGAGATAATCGGGATATTAAGTGTATGAACCTCATTTTTTAAATTAGTTAACTCCTTATTTAAGCTCCTAATATTAGGAGTAGGGAACAGAAGAAGCAGTAAGTGTGAGGGTGTCCATAGAAACAGTTTACAGCTTTTGCCACTAAAACTTCCATCACTTTTACAACTTTTCGGTTTTGAAGTATTTTAGTTGCTTACCCAATTTTAATAAACTTTAATTTCCCCATTTTGATTAAAATAGTAAACATATCAAGGATTTTTGATCAACATATAGTGACTTTTTAATGTCCATGATGCACGTTTCTAGTCAAAAGCAGAAGAAAACTCCTTTTAGTTAGCCTTTCCGTTTATGATAACACAGTTGGAAAGAACCGCCTCTGATGTCAGTCGGAATATCTGTACCTGGATGTCACTTGTGTTGCTTAACTTCTCGATCTGTAAATTAAATACACTTAAAAACATTCGTGAGGTGTGATCAAAACATGACTAAGAATGTAAGTTTAAAAAATATGGTACAGCAAAAACCTCACCGCCTGCTCAAGACTCATCTTTGCTTCGAACACACTTCGCTGATCATTCTTGCTACTCTCACAGGCAGTGCTGACTGTCGTCTTTCGTGAGGGTCTTTGGGAGGTGGGAACCAAAATGCAGTGAGTGCTGCTCCCCAGTGCCATCCCACAGCAGAGAGGCTCCTTTGGGCATTACGGTGTAGACTCATCCACCTTCCTCACCTGCTCTGGCATCGGCCACTTCTGGCTCTTCTCCGAAGTCAAAATGACCATTAAAGGTCAATGTTTTGAATCATTTTAAGACATTGAGGCAGCTGTGCCTTGAAAAAGGTACCCTCGAAAGAGAACTTTCAAAACTGCTTTGGAAAGTGGCACAAAAGAAGGGATAAGTATTTTTTTTTAAGAGTGGAATGCATTTATTGAGAGAAAAAAAGCTTCTGTCTTCATAGACAGAAGGGGTCCTGAGTGAATCAAAACAAACCAGTGTAAGAGATACAGGACTTCAAAACATTACGAAATCAACAATGGTTACCACAATGCCTCTTGATGTCTTTAAAATAGCTGCAGATAACTTCGGACATAGTAAAAATCAAACAGAACAGAATAGGATAGTAACAATAAAAACAAAACAATGAATGCAGTAAAGGATTTCAAAACAAGCCATAGTAAATTCAAAGTTGCTACCATATTTCTTGCTATCTTTGAAATAGATACTCTTGCCATCAGATTTGGCATAATCAAACAAAACAAAAGAAAATAAAACCTAACCTAAAAACAATGGAAATGATATAGCACCTCAAAATAGGACCATAGGGAATCAATAATGACTGTAACCCTCAGAAGGAGATTCCCCCAGATGCCACACGGCATACCACTGTCCTGTGAACCCAGGATTAGACCACTGACCCTAGACCTGCAATGTCAGTGAAACACCAAAGCACCACAGGCATCCAATTACATTTCACCTTAATAGCTATGATCACAGCCTGTGTTTCTCTTGATAAGCTGGTTGTTTATGGTGGTGATGGGAGCTGGTACTTCTTGTTTGCCAGTCTGCATGATGGAAAGACCTGGGGTCTATCTTCCAGTCCAGCGGTAGCCCGCACATTGCGCTGGTTCCCAGACTGGGCTTGCTTCCTGGTATGGCCTTCTCTCTATACCCAGTAGGCGAATGACCACACCTCACACTATATAAAGGTGGTAGGGGTGGATCAAAGTACTTATTCTGTGTTGTATAAATATATATTTAATACTCACCATAAACCTAAATACTGATAATTCTGCAAATCTTTTTTTTTTTTTTTTTTTTTTTGATATTGGGAATTGAACTCAGGACCTTGTAATTCCAGAAAGGTATTGTGCTACTGAGCTGTATATCCCTGTCCCAATCCTGCAAATCATTTTAGCTGTCTAAAACTAATCCTTCAGCAGATTTTCCAAGAAGGGCTCACAGCAGTCTTTCCAGTTCCGTGTAAATAAAATTATTCCCCAGGTCAAAATCTTCAAGGTGATTTTGATTAGATTAAAAACAAAAAGCACAAAATACCTGGGTTAAAAATTTTCCTTAAGGATGATTAATTCCTGTAATAAGTAAATTATATCCATTTTCCTGTTCATAATTACTATAATAAGATAAATATTTTTTGTTTTTGTTTCTAAGTTATTCTAGTCCTACTTGAAATTTCATTTAGCTTATTAAATGATGATTCCATTTTCATCTTTATTTTGAGTAATTCTCTTTGGTATACCATACATCACCTATGGGAACATCATTATGTTCTTTGGTTTGTCGATTTTTGTTTTTTTTAGACAGAGTCTCACTACATAATTCTGGTTGGCCTTAAACTCACTGTGTAGTCTATACTAGCCTCCAACTCACAAGCAATTCTCCTGCCTCAGCCTCATGAGTGCTGGGATTATAGGCATGCACTATCATACCCCGCCTGTTTATTTCTCACATTAAAATTTTATGAGACTTGTTTGAGATTCTGTGCTGGAACACCTTTCAAAGAAAGACAGTATCTCCTTTTCAGAGGAAGGACTGGGTGAAAATAATTTTTGTAGCATCATAGTATAATATTTCTCATTTATTTTCACAAAAAGCTGAAAGATAAGGTCAGGCTCTTTGAGATTTTTGCCCTCCTTCTGTGCCTGGACTTTTTTTTTTCTCTCTAGCCTACCTCTCATTGCTGATGTAGATCCTTTAGGGTGGTGCTTTCTTCCACAAAGGTACTGCCATGTATAGTTTTGAGCGTCCCTTGAGTCCAGCATCCAGGTATCCCTAGCCAGATGACAACCTTCATGGTTCTGTTTGTATTCATCTGTGCATTGGCATCCATAGTGGCCTCTCCTTGTTTCTGTTACTTCCAGACTTGCCTGCTAAACTAACCAGAATGCATCTCATGGTGAGTGTGGCAGTTCTGTGTTGATTTTCTTCTTTCTGCAATACTGTGGGTCTGTAGGTGCTGGAAATTTATTTCTACCCACTGACACTGGTAGATACTGCAGATAGATACTGATAGATATTGCAGATTTCTGATTTTGTTATCCTTCTTACATTCTGTTTTGATGCAAAGATCTGCAGAAACTTGAAGCAACATCTTTGTAGAATCTTTTCCCCTTTCGTTCTTATGTAATCTAGCTCTTTCAGCCATTTCTAACTTTATTTATTTATTTATTTATTTTTAAATATTTTATTTAAAAGGAAAAAGAGAAAAATAAGCAGAACAAAACAAAACAGTGTAAGGGTACAAGTAATTCAGAACTACAGAAAAGCAAAAAACAAAAAACAGTAAGCTATCACCAGTTAATAGATTACTCGCTATCATCTTAGAAATGGTGTTTCAGGTCACAGGATCAAAGCACACAAAGCGAACATTCAAACAGTGAGACTGCAAACAGTTGTGTTCAGTAATCCAATCCAAAATATTAATATGGTCTTCTATGTAACACACCTAAACACCCTTGCTGTTGTATCCTTCAGGGCACTTTTCTTTCCCTCTCTTTATTACAACAAAATTTATACATTTTGGGCTTTATTGCTCCCTTAGATCTTATTACTTTTTTTTTTAAGAGAATAAAATCAAGCATGATAAAACAAAGCTGTCAATCAATAACAAGGATAGACATAGCACATGATGTAAAAACAGAGTACAAGTTTATCAACAATGGTTACCATAATGCCTCTTGCATCCTTAAGAAGAATTGTCTATCTCTTTAGGTATTATAAACAAAACAGTAGAGAACAAGACCAATAAAACCTAAACTTTGTAAATCTTACAGCATCTCATAAGACGATAATAGTCAAACCAGAATGGGCATCATAGTGAATCTTATTGCCTTCAAAGTAGTTGCCTATACTCTGATACTTGACACTTTCATACAGAGCAGAATAGAGTCTAATCAGTCAAAACAAGATAACGGGGGTATTACAGGACTTCAAGTTGATAGGAAATCAAAAAAGTTACTATAATATATCCTGCTAGACTTTTGATTTTTTCCCCTTAGTTTAAACTCTTAAATTTCTCTCTTAATTTTAAATATAGGTAGAGTTGACAACTTTGAAATTTTTTAAAAATTTAGGTTTGTTTTAAGGTTAGGTATTTACTTATAGAGGAAACAAAGCTAACTAATATACATATATTCCAAAGGAAAAAAATACCATTTTCTAAAGTACTTTTTTATTGTTCTGCCTTCTTTTGGCAGGATACCTTACACTATTTGTTTTTCAGTGAGCTATATTGTAGAACTTTTTTGAATTTTAATGTTTAAACACTTTTATTTTGACTTGATGTACAATTGTATATATTTATGAAATATACTGTAGTATTTCAACAAAAATATATAATGATCAGGTCAACGTTGGCATCTTAATCACCTTTCACATTTATTGTTTTGTCCTGTGGCAAGCATTCCAACTTTAACTAGCTTTTAGGAGATGCATTGTGCTTGCCAGCTTTAGTTACCCTATTGCGTTGTAGAACGTTGGACGCCTAACGTAGAACTAACAGAGAAATATGGATGTCCTGCTGTCTTACTTGGAGAGTCTTGGTTGACCTTGGAAGATGTGGTCCCTGCTTTCCACTCTGTAGCTTCTAGAATTGCATAGCAA